CCCACTCCACCCCCAGGGACATCCCAGGCCCACTACTGGGAGGTGCTGGAGCAGCTCACGTTGGCCTGTGTCAGATGCCTCTTCCCACTCCACCCCCAGGGACATCACATTAACAGGTTGACATTCTGGGGAAGCCACACCAGGAAAATCAGCGCACGCTGCAAATTAGAGCCCTCACCTCCCCCAACCAGCTGTTCAGCATTTCCCAACACACCTCTGACGATTACTCTGTTTTCTTTCTTTTCTAACCTCTCCACTTCTTCATTTAACTCTAAAGCATTCAAGAAACAAAACTCTAGGACTAGGTTCCAAAATTTGAAGTTCTAGTTTTGTGCATACTTTTCTTAAACCAGATGACCCTGGCCAACTTATTAACTCTTCCTAAGGTTCTGTCTCTGTCCTTTGCAATAAGGACATTGCCATTCACTGACACTTAAAAAATAAATTTTTTGCAGTTTTTTGGGCCTGGGCTGGGTTTGAACCCACCACCTCTGGCATATGGGGCCAGTGCCCTACTCCTTTGAGCCACAGGCACCACCCCACTTAAAAATTTTTTATGAGAGTTAATGATTCAGTTCTACACACACACAGAGTAAATCTGGAACAGAGAATACGGAAATAGAAAATAGAAGAAATAAAAATAGATTTTCAGTATTGACGTATTGAAAGAAACTTAATAATTATCAGTCTCAACCTCCTTAGTCTACAGACAGAAAAATAAACCAAAAAATATATAAACAGATTGACAAGGTTATGTAATTCACTCTCATAATGAAAATATTTCATGTACTTTGTAACTTTCCTAAGTCATATTTCTTTTGAAAAGTTAGAAGCCTCTAAGATGTATCTGTGGTTGTATGTCTCAAAGTAGGATTTTTATTTCACATTTAATAAGAAAAAATAGGAGGAAAATATATAAAGCATTTTAAGCCTGTATGGAATTTCACATAAATACAGTGATTTAAGTGTAAAGACCACAGAAGTAGCATAAAATTTCTAATGAGGATTTAGAGAGGATAAATCAAGATACTCTATTTTAATAAGACATTTCTAGTCGTGCTTTAAAAGAGCCATAAAGAGAAAAACAAAGTCTTATTTAAATGAGCATAATGGCAATGTTAAATTTGGTCTAGTACAACGTGGGGAAAAACCTAAATCAGGGGTCCTCAAACTTTTAAACAGGGAGCCAGTTCACTGTCCCTCAGACCTTTGGAGGGCCGGACTGCGGGCCCCGGGACAAGTCCGCTGCTAAGCAGGACAGGCAGAGGCAGCAAAAACACCCAGTCGGCAGGCAGGATAAATGTCCTAGGCGGGCTGCATGTGGCCTCCGGGCCATAGTTTGAGGACACCTGAGTCCTAAATCATTCAATCTTTTTAAGAGCAAGGAGACACACTGTAATCGCAGCACAAAGAAAGGGTGCTCAGTGTGACAAAATTTCCATTAAAGTAAAGCTTGGAAACTCTACTTTTTAAAAAAGTAGTCACTTACTATAATGCCACAGGTTTTCAGAAATCTGATGATAGTGAATACACGTTTTAATTTAAAGAAAAAGAAAGCTGAATGGAACCACCAAAGGAAGGGGCAGCAGCACCGTGCACCAAGTGCCTGCTCTGAGCTTTGCTCTCGGCATCTCCCCACGGGCCTGGCACCAGCTCAGGGCCCTGTGAGCTGGAGAGTTGTACAAGGTCCAGCTTGGAAGGGCCCCACCCTTGGACTAACGCTCCTATCACCATCTCGTAATTCTTAATAATTGTTGATTAAGGAACCTCACATTTTCCCTTTACACCAGGCCCAACTAATGACAGAGCTAGTCCTGGTCACATATATTTACTTTATCACCATAATCTCACTTCCTTTTTACAAAGACCCCAGACGCAGAGAAATGAGTAATTTATGGAAAGTATAATCGGTCAAGCTGGAATTTTAACCCAGTTTATGTGACCCCTAAACCAGGTTCTGTTTCCCAATCTGTTACATTAACCACATGAGCTCAGACATTTGGCCGCTGTGGCTCCAATGTCCTCTGCAAATGATACTAATTAAACCTGCTTGAACAACAGCTAAGAACGGCTGACCTGCTGCGTGCAGGTGGAGTGTCGGAGGGAACTCACACAAACACTTCCAACTGCTTAGAAAGCAAAAGCTATGGAAGGAATGGAAACACTTAATGTTAACAAAAACATAACTTCCTATCTCTTAATGTGGCCCCAAGAATTTGTGTATTTTTAATCTGATTAAAATAAGTTCCACATGGCAATATGCATGTATAGTAATGCTACAACTGACAATGCTGAACAGATTAGAAGGAGTTGTCACTTGTGGTCTAAGTAGAATATTTAACTTTGTACAGAAAGATGCACTTT